TTCACGTGCTGCCTCTGCATATGGGGCGGAGGGAGGCGTCTCGTTTTTGAAAGGAGGGGATCTCATTAAGGGGTATTAGTATTAGTATTTTTTTTTTTTTTTTTTTTTTTTTTTTTTTCTTTTCTTTTGCTTTCCTATCTTTTGTGATTATTATTTTTTTTTCTGTTCTCCTTGACTTTCGTCCTTTTTGGAAGAAAGGATAATTGTCTTACTTTTTCTGTCTTTCCCTTTTATTTATTTTATTATTGTTTTCTTTTTAGAAGTCATTTGTGGATTTGCATGTAGTTGTTTTTCTTTCGTTCATTCTGTGGTGGTACAGGCTGTATCTTAGAAAAAATATATTTAATTTTTACAATGTTAGATGCCAGTTGTTGTTTTTTCATGTAAGAACAGTTAAATGCAGTTTAGTTTTGTTCAACACACAAAAATGTGTTCTTGTTTATTTTTTTCTTTCTACTCTTTTTTTTTCCCCTTGTTCATATGACAGTGATACAGATTTAAACAGCCAAGGATAAATTATCTCCCCCACAAAATCCTTTATGATGTACAGGTGTCAGAAACAAGAGAAGGAAAAAAGAAGGCAAGAAAAAAAAAAAGCTGGTTGATTATTGTATTGTCCTTGGTTGCCTGTGAGGAATGCAGAGGGGGCGGATATTAAAATAGCATTGAAATGAAAGTGGAAATGAAGCAGGGAGGCTACAAAACTTGCATACAGGAGTGGGGCAGATTCATTTGCATTGTGCCGGAATTTCATTTCTGTGTCCAGTTCTTTGAGGTGATGAATTGTCGCCTTTGATGTCTCATGGTCCTATTTATCTATTTTTCCTATTTTTCCTATTTTTCCTATCTATTGTCAAGGCAAATTTTGATACCTTTTAATCCAGAGTCTAGGGATAAGTGAATTACTTACTACTGTGTGAATTTTCAATCATTTTGTGTGTTAGATTGTGTTATCATTTTAGTGATGGATGTTAGGTTATAGTCTTTGGATGATTAATGTTTTGTGCATGCAAGGTTTCACACTCTTAATGTACAGTAAGTGGGGTTAGCATAAGGGTCATCGCTTGATAGACTGTCTTGATAACAAGTGGCTGCAGTGTGGATTTAACATTGCGGAGATAGGTAATAACCAATACTGTGTCATTAAATTCATTACTTTTGATTTTGGTCTATTAAAGCAATTCCGTTGTATGTAGAATTAGTGTTTTCACCAAATGGAGTTATATGATGTTTAAGTTTGAGTGTTTGAAGATAAAGTTCATGATCATCTTTCCATGAGCCTATTGATACGAGGAGTATACTTTCCACTATAAATTAGCCCTATTTTCTTCCATTTATTTATTTATTTATTTTTTATGTATTGATGGATCCTCAAATCACTGAGCAAACCTCGCCTAATTAAGCCCATTCCTTGAAATTATGAGGAAAGGTTTATATTTTTAATTACTGTTATTGCTAGAAATAGGTGAGCTCAGGTAGGCCTAGTAACTGATTCTTGGCAACTAAGCACTTTTGGAGCCACTTTTTGTGTTTAATGTAAAAAAATTTATTATGTCAGTAGACTAAAATAACGTCTGCTTCTGTTTATTCACTTGATTATAGTATATAAACTCCTTGGAGAAAGATGCCTTAAGACTTGATGATAAGCTCTAGATTCTCAAGGTGACTAGAGTGGGCAATGGTCTTTTCTGTGGAATGGTTAACAAGCTGTTTAATTGTCTGATAATTGAGAAGTAGTTTTAAAAGTTTTTTGATTATGTTTTATGTGATAGTGACTCTTACTAATCATGCTTTTTTTTTTTTACAGAGAGCGTTCTGCGAATTCTGCAAAGATCGCATTTGGGGCTTGGGTCGGCAGGGCTTCAAGTGCACCCAGTGTAAACTGCTGGTACACAAGAAATGTCACAAGCTCCAAAAAGTCCAGTGCAATGCCGACCTGGACACGTCAACAGACACCCTGGCGTCCCACGACTCGTCCACCCTGCCCAGGGGGGGAACCAACGGGAGGATGGCGGTAGACTACACTGCAGACGTCTCAGGTTCGTGAGACTTTGGAAGATGTTCTCTTTATTCTTTTTATTTATATATTTACTTTTCATCTATTCCCCTTCGTAATGTGCCTTACACATTATATTCCTAGGTTTCCTTTGACGTGCTTTTTTTATGTGCTCTTATTAACGAATTGATTTGTTATACCAATTTTGATATGTTGTAAATATGTCCTGTTTGCCATTTTATTGTTTGTGCATTATTTACTCACAGCATATTTCTAAGCTAGGCACATCACTTCAGCATGAGTCTTCCATGAATTTTGCATGATAATCTTGAGAAGTTTTCCTACAACTTGGCTCTAATCTCTGAATCACTACTGTGAAAATCTATTATAGAAGAGGAATTAGTGTTAGTAAAGACCCATGAAGGAAAGCAGTTGATTAACGGAGAACAAATCATCAATGTTAAAACGGAGATGAATGAGGGACATATTATAGTATTTTTTTTATAACCTTTTGAGTGTTGGTTTAGAATGTAAGATACCCTGCTCCTATAAAGGGACTATTTTAGTGCTTTTAAGTTTTGAAACAGGTTAGTTGTAATAGAAAAGGATGCTTTCCTACACAAGGCAAAGAGCTTGTTAACTTTACAAAATTTGCTTACTGTACAAACCGATAGTGCTAGTAATGAGTAAAGCCAAAGATCATCTCTTCAACCATTAGAATAGTTCAATTATTGAGGTGGTTATAAACTAATGTAGTTTAGTCAGTAGAAGTGAACAGAGTATACTGGATTTTTGCAGACCCTGGGATAACAGAGGAAACCCCTGTGGAGATGCCAACCATTACAGGTAAAAAAAAGAAGAAAAAATGAGTAAAAGCTTTCCAACACCTGTTTTTTTCTCTCTCCTCAAATCTGCACCAACTTGTGTTTGCTCTTTCAGAATTATTAGCATGATGGATTCTACTATCATAGTCTTGTTTAAGCTCTTGTTTAAAGGCAAAATTGGATTGTTTTTCTCCATACTGCTTAATAGTTTTTCTTAACATATTGCCTCTTGTCTAGCATCAGATGGAGTGATTTTTTAACTAATGCCCAAGGCAACTTCATAACTCTTGCAGAGATTTTGTCATTAATTGAAAGTGCCAAAGTAATTTTCTTATCATTTACTCTGATACATTATTGTGTTATTTCAGTATAGCTTTTTGTTTTTATGTAATACTACAGGGTAATCTCAAAGCATAGAACATACTTAGAAGTGACTTTCATAAACAGGTCCAAGCAGCGAGCCCATGACTCCCACGGGCTCAGCGGGCCAGTACTGCTTGGATGACTTTGAGTTGATTCGTGTCATTGGCCGTGGGTCGTACGCAAAGGTGCTGATGGTGGAGCTGAAGAGAACTAAACGCATCTATGCCATGAAGGTCATTAAGAAGACGCTAGTCACAGATGATGAGGTGAGTGAAGAAGCTTGGGAGAGTTGGAAGGTGTCTGAGCCAATATTTCTTTGTTAGGGAGTTCATAACTAAATTTATTGATAGTATGTGTATGACCATGATTATTTATAGTATGTTCATAACTAGATTTATTGATTAAAAAAATAAATGTTTGTAAAATATGCAGTTAGTGAAATTATCAGATTTTACCACCTTTGAATTTTAGATTACAACCAAAGAGGAAAATCAATAAATGTAATGTATTTCTTATCTTGTTTTTCTTTGGATTCCCACAGGACATAGATTGGGTTCAGACAGAGAAACATGTGTTTGAGACAGCTTCCAATCACCCCTTCTTGGTTGGACTACATTCGTGCTTCCAAACTCCGTCCCGCCTCTTCTTTGTGATCGAGTTTGTTCGTGGAGGTGACTTAATGTTCCACATGCAGAGGCAGCGACGTTTGCCCGAAGAACATGCCAGGTTCTATGCCGCGGAAATTTGCTTAGCGCTGAATTTCCTTCATGAAAAAGGTATGCTGAGAATTGATAATGTTTTGCATTTTGCTTTCCATGAGCTGGTATTAGGACTAAAAAAAGGTTTAATGAAGACTTTGGCTATTGTTTTGTGAGAGCAACAGGAATAGAAAAACATATTATGTTCTTGGAAGGCAGTGGATAGTATGTTAATTTCATATTAAACCACTGTACAATTTTGACATCACTCCTGCAAGGTTACTATCTAAGATTTTAGCTTTCACTCTTGTGTTGGAATCATATGAAATGGATAACCTCAGGAATTAAAATATGTTGTGTTAAGACATCTGAGATGTTCATTTTAGCATAACTTTTTTCCACATTCCATGTACATTTTTGGGAATTAAAATTTTGGTTTATCTTAAGGGGACTTGTAATTTGTACTTTAATTGCTCTGGGAGATTGAAATAGGAGAGGGACATTTTGGCCTAACTTGATTTCATGTGGAAGAAAGGAGAAATATGAATGAAATTAGGAAGATTAATTGTGAGAGGAGAAGACAATTATGAGGAAAAAGCCACTTGCAGGTGAAATCAGAATCCCTCCCCCTTCATGTACATAATATATGATGGTTCAGTGGTCATTGTGACTGTTGATATAAGTACATTTTTAAGTAATAACTTGATAAGTAGGTCACAGTCTATTGAATTGACTTCTTTTTCTCCTCACACAGGTATTATATACCGTGATCTTAAGCTGGATAATGTATTACTGGACCATGAGGGACATATTAAGCTGACAGATTATGGCATGTGTAAAGAAGGAATTCGACCAGGAGACACAACATCTACTTTCTGTGGAACACCAAACTACATTGCACCCGAGATTTTACAAGGAGTTGAATATAGCTTCAGGTTAGTAACGACAGATGGATTTAGTACTTCATTATTAAGTTTACAGGCATTTTCAAGGTGGACTTCCAGTAAAAATTTACTTATCTATATTAGTATTTCATTTGTCTTGGTAACTAAAATTTGTAACTAGAAAAAAGAATCATGTTCGTCATTAATTGAAAATTATCATATCAACCCGAAGCCACTAGGGAGGGCATGTACTAACATGTCATGCCCTCTGTGAGTTTAATTTTTTCATTGTTTTTATACATAATGAGATCACAAGTACTAAGTCACCAATGAGCCAATTATGAGTGATACGTGTCTCACCCGCTTACCCTTTTCCTAGATTTATAGAAATATTTTCTGGTGTCTAATATTGCTGTTAGTAATGACAGTAACACTATAATAATTATAATGTTTATTATAGAAATAACAGCATTGACTTTGATAGAATTAGTAAAATCAAACTCAAGGAAAGATGAGATCAGGTGAGGTCACAAGGTCTACTAATTAACTCCTTTGTGGCTAAGCACTTGCAGAGCCCTCTCTGTGCAGGAACATTTCACAAAACAACATTACAGTGAACACATTTTCCCAGGCTTTGGGTTTAAAAGAAATTATGTGGATTTTTGTTTTTGTTTTATGCCTTGTTATTGAACTTTGACAACCTGTCCTGAATTACAGTTATGGACAATCTTCCAGTAGAGAATGCAAATGATAATTAATTATTATTAGCTCATTTGTGATCATTTTTCAGGTTTTAAGATATACAAGTTTATCTATATTATATTAACCCAATGACGCCGGGTGTACAAAAGGAAAATAAAACTACGCTCTGGCAAACAAAGGCAGCGCCCCGACTTTGAGCGCCGGAGTACGGGGCGTCAGCCCGAATCACTGGCTCGCCGCCGGCTGGTTTGGCCGCACGCCACCTTTCGAGCGATTTGTTTAGACGCGTATCGCCGTCACCCGGCGGCAAGGGGTTAAAGAACTGACTTGCATTTCTAATAGATATTGGCTATTCATAATTTCATGAGAAATGAAACTTGGTCATTACTTTTTTCACAGTGTTGACTGGTGGGCATTAGGAGTCCTCTTGTATGAGATGCTGGCCGGCAAGAGTCCCTTTGACATTGTGGGAGCTTCTGATAATCCAGATTGCAACACTGAAGACTTCTTGTTCCAAGGTTTGTGTTATGGAGGAAAAGGTTGATCAAGTGTTTAGAAATTTAGTATTTATTTTCAGACAGAAATGCAAACCTTGTGATTTTTATGGTGACAGGGGAGACAGTTAGGGTTGATTTGGTTTTATCTTTTAAGTACCAGTTCTTGTTTTTAGAATTTTCTGTTTTCAAATGTTATTTTTACTATTATTTGAATTGTAAAGAATTTGTAATATTGATGCTACAGGTGATTTATAGATTTGCTGGAACATGATTAAGTTTGGGTGCAAGAAATAAGAACTGGTCATTGTATTTTTCTTTCTGAGAAGAGAGGTGACTGTGCAACACAAACATCACTTTTGATATATGCAGCCTTGCTTGAAAGTGTTGCTGCATTGCACACATAGAATTCAGAATCTATATAATATCAAGAAATAATAAGAATGCTTTCATTTTAGAACATAGCCAGTAGAGAGTTTGAAGTCAACATAACATATTCTTGTTTTCAGTGATCTTGGAGAGACCCATCCGTATTCCTCGGTCGCTCTCCGTGAAGGCTGCTTCGATCCTCAGAGGCTTCCTCAACAAGAACCCAGTCGACCGTTTAGGATGTCACCCTGAGACCGGCTTCACTGACATCGTCACTCATCCATTCTTCAAGACCATAGATTGGGAAATGGTTGGTTGCAGGCCTTTAGTCATGTGCGATTATGTCAGAACAAAGGTTTTTTGATGATATTCATCTCTATAGATGACATACATTGGAGAGTGAGCTTTTCTGAATGATATTTTATAGCTACTGCAGATAGCAAGAGTAATAAGAAAATCTCATAGGGCTCCCGAGTTAATTTACATGGTCCCAGTATTTTGCACACATTCTTATATTTGAGTTCCCTATAGCTGGTTTATGGCCGCTGCCGATGCCTGGGCAACTAATAGCAGGAGAAATATTTGTTGCAAGTAAATTGTTTTGCAAAAAGAAAAAGTTGTTCCCATATATTAGTGAATTTCAAGTTTTTTTTCTGATAATGCTTTAGAAGCCTTTACCAAGTCTTTGTCAGTAATTTCATATATACCCTGACCTCTGTTTCCTTCTTTCATTTTAAGTTCTGGGATTCTTTAAGTTTGGATTGTGTCATGGGAGGATAACTCCTTAACCCATCTACACTCTCTCACTCACTCTCACTCTCACTCTTACTCTTACTCTTACTCTTACTCTTACTCTTACTCTTACTCTTACTCTTACTCTTACTCTTACTCTTACTCTTACTCTTACTCTTACTCTTACTCTCACTCTTACTCTCACTCTTACTCTCACTCTTACTCTTACTCTTACTCTTACTCTTACTCTTACTCTTACTCTTACTCTTACTCTTACTCTTACTCTTACTCTTACTCTCACTCTCACTCACACTCACTCTCTCACTCTCACTCTCACTCTCACTCTCACTCTCACTCACTCACTCACTCACTCACTCACTCTCTCTCTCTCTCTCTCTCTCTCTCTCTCTCTCTCTCTCTCTCTCTCTCTCTCTCTCT